ATTTGGTTGCCAAAGAATGGTTTGCTGACTTCAGCAGCCATTTCTTTGCAACCTTGGATGATGTCATTGGCTGTATATTCCATGCACAGCACGTTTAAGGGCTTCTCCACCATGTATTCACCATGGTCACATGTACCGGCATGGTCGTGGAGATCGCACTTCCCCAGATATGTTCTTTTACGCTGAGAGTGAAACCAGTGGGCAAAACCCTTCTCTAAAGGTAAAGTAAAACCAATACGTGATGAAAGCCTGTCTAAGCACAGAGGAGTTCCGAGGGAGCAAGAGGATTAGAAACCTTCTATTTGTCCCCCGCATGCATATGGCACTGATGTAGTTCAATTATTAGAGTGTATACTCGCTACGGCTTGTGCACGAGCTCTCGTGAAATTCCGCGGCACAGCAATACAGTGTAGTGCAGATAATCACTTAGATAACACTTTAGGAATACCTGTATGTAAGAAGCAAGTGGATTCACTAATATGTTCTAACAAGCTCAATAACTTAAGGACAACATCCCTCACCAAATGTTTCTTTGAACATGATCATTCAGTTTCATAAAGAACTTGACGAAAGCTTAATTGTACCCAAAAGATAGAACTGACAGGGATGGATTCTTTGAAATAATGACACTAAAGTTGAAATCATTAACAGTAGTTTGAAACATCAAAATTGAATAGGGCTCGTTGAAAGTCCTTCTTCTGCTTCGAGATGAATCGCAACATATATTTAAGTTAGCTTTATGCGTAAGAATTTATAAATGTTCTTGCGCCAAACACGCACTACATGGCAACAGTTCATAAGACTGCCCTATCCCGAACCCCACTTCCAGTAAAATAGGGGGACCTACACTAAAACTTGGTCTTTGAAATATGCAAACGCGCCCACACGAGGATTTGTTGCAAAGCGAAGGCATACCGACGTTGGAATGAAAAAAGCATGTAAACAACATCGAAGGCAGTTACATCTCCGCTCTACTCGCCATAACATTTGATAAAATTTGCGAGTCCTTCTTGCTGAGGAGCACCTTAAAACGGTTGGACTCACATAAAACGTCGTTCCCGATGGACACGTACGCATTGACTGCGTACGAACTATGGCGGTAGTATTCTTCTAGCGCACCTTCCAGTACTAGTCCAATTAGTATCTCCAGTCGGGCCTCTAGCGATACCCGTCGATCAAGCGGCGGTTCACGGCCACGCATACGTTTCCCTCTTAGCCCTGTATTGGTCCAAATGTTTGCGATGTTCAACAATGTGGCCTTCTCGTTAGGGTATGTCGTACTCATATGACGCACTACTGCCACGATAGACTCGGCTAGTGGTGACACATCCAACAGCTCCAATTTGCGTTCATCACCAGCTGCACACAAGTCACAGCAGCTTGATTGCTGACATTCATTCCTTGGTGGAGGCGTCTCATTGAATGCTGCAGCAATAACAGCGCGCCTACATTTGCTAATATTTCCAACATCCTCGCCAATAGTACGACCCGAACAATATCTATACATGTCGTACAATTTCCTTACTCTGCCATCTCCGTTTGCAGCAACAAAAGCACTCAATCGAGCAAAGTCCTTCGCGCGGTGTAATACAATACACTTCGCAGGCTTCCCGTTCCGTCCTGCGCGGCCCGACTCTTGGTAGTATCCATCAATGCTCGTCGCCATCGTGGCATGGATCACAAACCTCACCATTTGATTGTCAATCCCAAGCCCAAACGCGATAGTAGCCACTGCAACCAGGCATTTTCCATCTTGCCAATCCTCATGAATCGCGCTACGGTCATCTTGGGACATGTCGCCATGGTAACAGCCGGATTGAATGCCCATCGTATTTAGCGTTTCACTATACACCTCCGCCTCCTTGCGTGAAAGAACGTAGACGATGCCGCACTGATCCTTGAATTCACCTAACAACATCTCCGCAATGTCCGAGATGACGCTCTCCTCATCATCCTTCTTTTTCCGCACCTCATAAAAAAGGTTTGGTCGATCAATACTTCCCCTGAAAATGACCGCGTTCGGTACACCAAGCGTCTTGCAAACATCCGCTGTAGTCTCCGGGCAGCATGTGGCGCTCAAAGCCAAGAGCGGAGTGTTGGGACACTGGGCCTTCAAAATGCCCAAGCGCCTGTAATCGGCCCTAAAGTCATGCCCCCACGTCGAGCAACAGTGGGCTTCATCGATGACGATGCGCGACAAGTGTCCCCCCTCGTACATGAGCTCCAAACGGCTCATTAGCTTCTTGTTCTTCGCAATCTGCTCTGGCGTTACGAAAACAATCGAGGCCTCCATATCATCTTGAACCCAGCTGCCCTTACGCTTTTCCCGCTTCCTTCTATTCTCCATGCTGTTCTTTCTCTTCTTGTTTGATCCTTTCTGCTTGTTCGGGCGCGGCCTCGGCAAAATCACATCATATATCGTGGCCAAAGCGCTCTTCTCCGTTGTAGAATCGAGCGACTCTGCGCGTATCCTGAGACGGCGGAGCGCCATCTTCTGATCCACGGAGAGCGAGATGAGTGGTGTGACGACGACGGTGACGCCGCGGTCGACGACGGCGGCGAGCTGATAAATGAGGGATTTGCCCGCGCCGGTGGGCAGGATGGCGAAGACGTCGCGGGCCATGAGAGTAGCGTTGAGGGCCTCGCGCTGCAGCGGGCGGAAGGCGGCGATGTTGTAGACGCCGTGCAGCTCGCGCGCGAGGATCGGGGCCCACGGGAAGGCGGGGGCGTTCCAGTCGAAAGCGAGGTCGGCGGCGCGGCGCAGGTGGGCGATGCGGGCGGCGGCGCGGCGCTCCAGCTCCGTTAGCTCCGCCGTGGCCTCGGTGAGCAGGCGGTGGCGCTCGCGCACGACGGCGCGCTGGGACGAGACCGAGGCGCGCAGCGCGCACAGAGGCGCGTCGTCCTCCAGGCGCGGGTGCGGCATCCGCGGGGTCCGCGCCGGCGCCGGACGATGGGGTGCGGCTGGAGGGATGGTCGCGGCGGGGGCAATGGTCTCGCTCACGATGACGACTTCGTCGGATTCTGTGGAGGGCGTGACGGTGGCGGGGGACGGGTCGGTGGGGTCATCTGGAGAGTCATCGGTGGGACGGTCGAGATCTGTATGGTGGCGCTTCCGTTTGGTGGGGTTTTGATGCGGGTGTTCGGGGTAAAGTTGGTCAACGGGGCGGGCATGATGACCGGGAGAGATTTTAGTGTCGGGGATTTTGACAAGGTCGAGCTCGGGCTTTTGGTTGGATTCAAGAGTGATCTCTGGTTTGGAGATGGAAGGGTGGTCTTCTGCTTTCATGGCGGAGGCGGCCGAGGGTGAGTCGGCGAAGCGAGGGCGGTGAGTTGGTTGACATGGCTATGGCTCTGGTCGAAGGGTGCGCTGAAGCGAAAGGGGCAGGTGGACAGCTGAAGTTGGCACGGATGATTTCATCCTTTCAAAAGCAAGCGCAAGACGCCTATGTACACGACTGCCACGTATGCAACGTGCGAATAGACTGTGCTGAATATTAAAACATTTTGATAATATTTAAATTAATACGGGGACCTTGTTGCAACAAGGGTGCACACAAGCAGGCGGGGTGGGCTGGGGGCGAGTCCGGGCGTCCAGCGGCACGGTACATACGTCGAGTGCGTGTTCAGCAGCGAAAAGGGGGATGCGGGGGGGGCCGTTCGGGGCGCACACGTGTTCGCACCAGCGTGCGGACCTTTTTTCCCTGGCGCACGGTAGCCGTATCCCGGGCCATATCCCGGCTACCCCGTCGCTTGCATTGTTGGCCGCAGAAGCGCGTCGCGAGAGACGTTCCCATGGATGCCGCACAGTCCCCCGCAAACAGGGCGTCCGCTCTTTCCCATACATACATGCATATCCGCCCCGCGACCAGGCCGCGATATGCAGCCGCGCGACGCCTACAGAATACCGCGAAGCCCGCATGGTTACAGTCCTGTGTCCCCGCGGACGCCACATGTATCTCGATGGTGCGGGCCGCAGTGCCACGCGCCACGCGCCACACCCGATCTATCGCCCGCCGAGGCTGCGCGCGCGAGACGGATAGGGTTTCTGCGGGCGGGGTGGTAGGGGGGCGGGCGCTGGCGGCGGGCGGTGGAAGACGCTGGCTGCGTGTACGAGTGTTGGCTGCGAGCGGCTTAAAGCGGCGGCCACGGGCTGGTGCGTCAGAGGCCAGCTACCACGCCAAACGCAACGTGATCGGG